AAAATACCAGTGGTTGAAAACACAGTTTCAAAACTGGTATCTGATAAGAGAGTGTTGATCAAATTATTCCGGTGTGGTTCAGCTGCATAGGTTATGAATTCTTCTCTAGTGCTGGCATCTCAAAGTGCTGGCATCAGTCCGAACAGTGTGAAACCCAGAATATTTTATGGGCATCTCTCTTCCAGCAGCCTCTTCAATAACAAAGATGCTGTTGATTTTTCAGTCTAAAATTTGGCAGGTAGGAAGGCAAAAAGTATTTTTTTAGTTTGAGGAAAACCCTCATATATATATATGAGAAACATAATGAAGGAAGAATGTTTTCCATGTCCAGTGCCATGCCCAGTAAAAGCAAAGAATAAGGCAGGTAAGAGCAGGAGCTACCATTCTCAAAAATCTTAATTATTCAACAATTATTCAAAATATTGATTGTTCAGTTGGGAGGTTGCCATTTTTAAAATTCCTGCAGGGCTCCTGGATGTCTCCAGAATACCAGATACTGGTAGACAAACGCATACAAAGCACAGCCGAGAAATGAAGGGTATCCTTCAGTCTGTTGTACAGCTTTCGAAAGCATGCCCGCATCATGAGAACAAAAACCTGGCAATCCTATTCCTTTGCACTGCTGTCAGAATTCATTGTTTGGTGGATGCCATGACTGGTTCCTCTTGTTCCTTGACAGCTTCTGGGAAAGGACACAGAATTCTCCATCCCACCCTATTCTGACCCGATCCACAGGGCAGAGGGTCCACCAGAGTACCCCAAAGGGTTACTCCCATCACCATGAGTAGTGTTGCTTTTTTAAGTGTTCACTCTGACCTTGCACTCCCCACAGAGACATCAGACAGATCACACTACTCTTCCCTCTTTGAGAGGGAGCACTGCAACCTCCTTGTTCTGCTACTTCTGTCGCTGGTGACAGATGATTGTAGACTTGCTTGCTGACTGTTCCTGGGCTAGTGCTAAATGCCTTTTCTGTTTCAGTGGGATACTTGTGCCTGATAGTGTCCAGCGAACGCCTGCCATTCGCCAAATCCTGTCTGCATTTCCCTGTGTTATGACTGTTGTTGCTTCCTTGTGTATCAACACTGCAATGCTTGGGAAATGATATAGTGTTTATCCCCTGGTACAAAGTATATACACCTCCCCTCAAAGAAAACCCCCAACAACCCACATCCCTCAAGCCAAAGGTTTTTTGAAGGAGGAAAAAGGGTATGTCATAAGATAAGACTATGATATTTTGGCTGCAAGAGAATTCTGACAATGCAAACCCCGGAACCAACGACAGTACAAATACGGATTTGGAAGAGTTCTGTGTCTCCTGCCCTTCTCTCTTGCAAAAATCTTCATGCCCTCACATAAACCAACGTAACTGTAACTTGTGCAATGTTTTCATTGCTCTATCTGGGACCACGAGCTTTAGAGCAGGACTAAAATCCTGGGAATTTGCAGTCTGTGAGTTCCACATGTAGGCCCCCTTCTATACAGCTATGGATGAAGGATGTGGTTGGCAGCTCTCTTTGCAAAGGAAGTCTTCCCTTTTCCACCCACCCTAGCTTTTCAGCACGCAAAAGGATCACTTCCAGTCTGCTCTTGCCCTATTTTTGTCATTTTCCTCCCGGCTGTGCTTTGGGCATTTGCCCGAGTCTTTTGTGTGTGTGTGTGTTGGGGGGGGGAGGAGGAGGAAGAAGGTGAGGGATGCAGCTACCGTTTAATGATTTCCTGAGCCAATGGCTACAGATGGGTGGCACTATGGGCTTTTCTTTTCAGCATCCTTCCACATTGGGATATAGTCACCATGGTGCTTAGGTTATTGCTGCATGTTGGCTGGTGCTTTCGACGCATACTAATGTAGACATGTCATCGGTGCATGACATCATGGTGGGTGGGAGCAGCAGAGTTGCCAGGGAACAATGCCGCCGGGAGTACCTAACAGTGCTGCCTCTTTTTCTTCAGTCACTCTTGCGCTTTGCTCTCAGGGAAGCCCGGGGTGCATGGCAGCCCCAGTGTACGAGACCTGGTGCAGCGATCATGTAAGGACTGAGCTGTCCACTGATGGCAACATAAATGGCCCAGAAATGCTACCTTAGGGTTCTTATCTAGTAAACTGCTGTACTGCAGTCAAAACTGTGCTCACGACCTGGGGTTCAATCCCAGGTAGCTGGCTCAAGATTGACTCAGCCTTCTATCCTTCCGAGGTCAGTAAAATAAGTACCCAGCTTGCTGGGGGGAGACACTGTGTAGCCTGCATCATTAACTTGTAAACCGCCCAGAGAATGCTTGAAGCGCTATGGGGCGATATATATGCAGCACGCTTTGCTTTGCTTTGCTTTGAAGTAAGCAATGGTGTGGCGCTACTCCACAAGTCTGAACCTGGCATTTTAGATTCAGTGCCAGATAGAATAACTGTATCAGGACTGCCCCACTTTGCAGAATCAAAAGCAGGACCACACAGGGCTCCGTGACTGCCTATTTCAGAGGCTGCCCTACTCCTAGGGAGAACTGGGTAGCTCCTCTCCAGCAGCAGGTAGTGGTGGTGGCTGTGATCTCCCCGACTGCTTTCTTCTGAGCTCCTCCTCCCTGTGGTTCTTATCCTTTTCAAGTTTCCCCCAACTGCTTCCCATTCTCCTGAGCTGGGTCAGTGATAAAGTTGCAGTGAAGGGAAGGCCCAGATGGTTTGGCAATCTTACCTGCTCACCTTCTTCCAATCCACAGCAGGCAAGATAGGGGGCAAATCTCACCTGACTGAGCCAGCAGGCAAGCAAAACGCTAAAGCTAAACATTCTAGCAGGCACTGCATGTGGAATATCTACTGTTTTCCCAAAAATAAAGAACTAACCTGAAAATAATTTCAGGATGCTTGTAATATAAGTCCTACCCTAAAGATAAGCCCCAGTTAGGTGAAACCCTGCCATCCACCCGTGCAGCAACCAGAAGAGGATGACATGACTGTAAAATAAAACATCCCCTGAAAATAAGCCCTAATGCATTTTTGGAGCAAACATTAATACAAGACCCTGGATTATTTGGGGGGAAACACCGTACACCACTAATGTAATATATGCAATATGTTCAAACTGGCACAAGGGGTGCATGCATGCAGCACTTCTTCATGTGCAGCTTCTCAGCAAAAGAATAAAATTCTACGAGGCATCTAAGAGCTGTGCTGGATCAGAAAGCCAAAATCTTGTCTGATTTCCACAATGGCCAAAGAGATGCCTATGGGAAACTCAAACAAGTGCTGTTGTTTAGAACAGCGGTTCCCAACCTTGGGCCCCCAGATGTTCTTGGATTAAAACTCCCAGAAATCCTGGCCAGTACAGCTAGTGGTGAAGGGTTCGGGGGGGGGGTTAGTCCAAGAACACCTGGAGACTCAAGGCTGGGAACCACTGGTTTAGAGGCATGCTGCCTACAGATTGCTCCAAAGTGGTTCACCAAGAAAATAATTGGAAAATTATGTTTGCATGCAACACGTTTAATGGACCATAGACCGGGAAGACTTGAGTTCCGATCCTGAGATCATGAAGTTTGGGCCTGTCACAATTATCCCTACACATAAAATAGCCTTCATGTGAACTATTTCAAGCTTCTGTGAGGAGGCGCAGATGTGATCAAACAAGTGATTCAAATGGATTCTCCTTCTATCCGAGAGGAATCCTTGCCAATCTTCCTGTTCAGGAAGGAAACAAGAGACTCTCACCAATAGGCTCTTTTAGGGACGGACAGTATTGCACTTCTTGCTACCCCTCTGATGGGACAGAAGGATCTGGTTGCAAGGTTGGAGACGCCACTCAACAAGGTCATTCAAGACGTCTGGTTTCCCAGGATTTACCATGTCTGCTAGAAGGAGAGGACCAAGAGGTTTTTCCGCCAAAGGACCATGAACTAATTGGAAGTTACTGCCAACTATACCTGCCCAGGATCGGAGCAGCAGATCTGATTTCCTCCTACAAGCTATAATCTTTTGGCAGCCACCGGCAGAATTAGGCGAGGTCTACTGGTCAACTTCGACTGGACCATGTGATTCCTGCTGGTTGCTGGGACGATTACCCGTATTTAAACCGGAAGCTCCTGCTGGGAAAAGATCAGTTAATGTCCTTTTACAGCAGCCCTCCAGAGGTCGTGAGTATAGAAGTGATGCCTTAAATGTCTTAGCAATTCAGAAATCCCGAGTGACACAGTTTTTAATACTGTATGCAATGCACAAACTAGATCTCAGGGGGCTGACATCCTTGTGCGACTGAGCCCAGATTATTTTATTTATTTTATTTATATGCCGCCCACACTACCCAAAGGTCTCTGGGCGGCTTACAACATTTAAAATACAATAAAAATTCGGAAAAATTATATTACAATTAATATATATATTAAAAATAGTTGCAATTAAAATATATATTAAAAATAGCCGTATTTACTGTTTCCCCCACCATTAAAATGAGGGGAGGAAGGAGAACTTTTAATTTGTGTTGCTTCCACCCACCTGAGGTGGCTGGCTGGCTGGTTTTCCCTTTGCAGCTCAGCCTCGCCCCCTTGTCTCTTTCCTCCTGGAAATCGCCCACCGACTCACCCCCTCCTTGCCTGCCTGCCTTTAACACCTCCTCGCCGGCAAGACCGCCGGCCCTGCCTTTTCCTTCTCTCGTCTGCAGGTGGAGGAGCAGCAGCAGCAGCAGCGGCGGCGGAAGGGGAGGAGAGGAGGGCACTGCAACCTACTTGAATAATTGATAGGCTGGGCTGCGAAGGAGGGGAGCCTGCAAATGCGGAGGAGC